TGGCCGGACCTTACTGGCAGTTGGCACCGCACTGCTGGCGAAGGAGTGGTCAGTGGCACACGCTATCGGCGCTGCTGGCTGAAGCCGTGTCGCACTACTGAGGCTTGCTTGAGCTGACCGTCGGCACTGCTGGCCGGATCGAAGTGGCAGTCGGCACTGTGCTGCTGGCACTGCAGTGGTCAGTGGCACACGCTGGCTGGCCCGAGCGGATTGTCGGCACTGCTGGCTGACGTCGCGTCGCACCACTGAAGCTGGCTCGAACTGACTGTCAGCACTGCTGGCCGGATCGATCTTGCAGCCAGCACCGTCCGCACTGCTCAAACTGTGAGACGGTGGTTGCACGGCGAAAGGCAGAGGATGAGGCGAAGGAAAAAGGAAAGGCAGGAGGGAGAATAAGCGGAAAAGAGGCTCACGCACATTTGACAGGAAGATGCGGAAAGGTTGGAGGCACTGCGGCAGACCGAACATATCGCTCATCCAGAGGAGAAACACTGCCGTCGCTGAATTCTTCACAGCTGCATATTCCAAGATGTGCGAACCCCTGCGAGCCAGCAGGCGAGCAGGATGAAAAGAAGAAGACGACAGGTTCCCAAACAGAGCACATGGGCAGTGATGCAACACTATTGGCAGCAGTGCCGTACAGCAGCTTCCATGCTTCTGCTGAGATAGCCCCGAGCTGTATAACGTCATACGAACTGTCTCTCTCTCTCTCTCACACACTCTCTCTTAGCATGCTTGTGCAACCCATTTGTCCAAAAACTGCTTCGGCCTGCCCCAGGGGCCAGCCCGCGGACGCAGGTCCGAAGCAGACGGCTGGAAGACCGCACACCGCACTGGATGATCGTCCGGGTGCCGGGCAATCTGAGGAGGTGGAGGAAGAGGAGGAAGGGGGGAGTGAAAATGGCGCGGGATGCCTCAAGGCACCCGCCCTCGGCGTTGGTAATGCACTCGGGGTGGACAAAACCGCCACACATCGAATAACCATCACTGAGGAGAAACGACGCGGTCGCACAACTCGCTGCAGAGAACTATGTAAGCCGGAACGGCTCAACTCAAGAGGCCCCGCACGTCTACCGGCAAGTGGAGCCGTGAGGGCCTACATGCTGCTGAAAACAGACTCGGTATCAGACGCCTCACGACCGATTTGCATGCACGGGCAGAGCCCGCAACGACGAACGGCTTCAAAGTCAAGACGGAAGCCTCGCGGCGGATGAACCCATCTATATGCACAATGCACCTGGGCGCCGCGAGCCGAGAACATCCGCACCACGCATCCTAGCTCCCCAACCGATGGGAAGCCTGGCTGGCGCGGGGGGACCGCCAGGGGGGCCCACAGCCGCAAAAGGGGCCCCAAAGGTCGACCTGCCACTCAAGGGACCCCGCGGGCGCCAGGCCATCAGTCCCAAGCCACGAGCCCGTGCGCCGCGCGCGGCAGCCAACCGCGGCGAGCGGGGGCTCGACGGCTCCAGGCCAGCTTCTCGCTGGCGCGGCGGCGACTCCCGATGCCTCTCATACGAGGTCCCAGCCGATGGGGTCGAAGGCCGTGCCGCCTCTTCGATGCATCGCCGCCCTCGGTGTGGAGAAGATCCAGCTCCGCACCGAGCCGCATCGCCGATGCTCCGGCGCTGCGGCGCGATCCGTCGACCCCGTCTACTCGGACCCCCTTGGGGAAGCCTGGAGACCCACTGGCCGACAGGCCCCTGAGGGGACCCCCGCCCCGCTGGCCGCCCCCCGCCCCGCCGGGCCGCTCGGCCAGCCGGCGCCGCCGCCCTGGCTGCCGCCCCGTGGGGGCCCCCTCGAGCAGGACGTCCCGCCGCCGGCGTCGGCGCCGCCCCCGCCGCCGGGCGGCCCGGCGGCGGGTGCCTGCGCGTGCCGCGCGCCTCCGTGCCGCGCGGCGCCTGCGCGCGGCGCCGGCGGCCTCGTCCCGCGCCGCGCCCACGCCGTCCGGGCTGCCGCTGCCGCAGCGACCGGCGGGCCCGTCGCCTCGAGCGGGTCCGAGCTGCCCGGGTGCGCCGCCCGCGACCTGCTCCCGCCTCCGCGGCCGCTGCGACTGCTCCCGCGACCGCCGCCGCGGCGGCTCGGAGCGAGGGCGCCGAAGCGCATCGGCGGTGGACTCGGGATGGGGGCCGGGGCAGTGCAAAGACGTGTGGCGCATCGGAGCCGGGCGCCACCATTCGTGTGTCATCGGGGCAGCGCCAGCGAACGGGACAGACGGCCAGCGGCGCGGCCTTGACCCCACACCGCTTCAGCCAACATGGCGATGGACAAACGCAAACTCACTTTGGAACGCCCAGTATGCGTGGTATAATCTAAGGAACCGCCACAGGATAACCCAAAGGAAAACAATCACAAGACAATCCACGAACCAATCCGCAAGACAACCACACGGGACAACCCATGGGACTATCCCCGCAAGACAACCCACGGGACAATCCACTCGACAACCGCGGGACAACCACAGAACCCAGACAATGTTCCAGACTTGGCCCTAGCCGCAGCTGGCTTCTCGTCGCCAACATGCGACGTCGTGTCGTCCACAATTGCGGTACGGATGTTTTAGCACTTCCCTCTAGGATCCCGTCGCCTTCACCCCCCATCTCCGAGCTTCTACTGCTGTGTACGCAGCACGTGTGCATCAACATGCTCACCGATGTCGGCGTACACATCGGTACGCGCGGATTTGTTGCAACCTGTTCGGGTGGTTATGTGCTTGATGACCGCCGCTGTGTTCAACGTGCTGATTTCTCGCACAACGCTTCGAAACAGGACAGGAGGGGGAGAAGTGGGGGGGGAGGGGGGCAGGAGTGAGAGCGTCAGGCTCTGGAAGAAGGCGAAGGACTGGAGTTGAATCAAGTTGAGAGGTGATCCTCTGGCAGGAGCGGCGGGGAGTGCAAACTGGAGCGCAAAGGAGTGGTAAGGAGCGGAGATGTACTTCGGAGTCTGGCTGAGCGCGGAGGACGAAAAGGGGGGCGGTGAGTTCCAGACGAGTGCGCAGATGAGGGCGGTGAGTTCCAGATGCGTGCGCAGAAGTGCGGGGGAGGAGGTGGTTGAGAATGGAGTGGAGTTAGGAGGGCCCAGGAGGAGCGGGGAAGCGTGCGAAGACTTGTGACGTGTTCCGTGCCTCCAGAGAAGCCACGCCTCCAGAGGAGCACAGGAAGGGGGCGCCGAACCCCTGTTGAAAGATGAATCGTAGTCATAGCCCCCCTCAGTTGCGGCCACTCGTGAGGGGCGGGGGGGTCGTCGGCAGGGTTCGGCGGCGAGCGAGGGGCGAAGTGAGAAGGAGAAGGCCTTTTCAGAGGGCGGAGGGGCTTCTCAGAAGCCCTCGCGCCTTCTGGGGAGCTCTCTGTGACTTCGGAGAGAAGGCTTCGGAACCTTCCCAGAAGGCGCGAGGGACCTCCGAACCTTCTGAAGAGGCCCATCCCCCCCTCGCTTCCCCACTGGGCTCGCCGCCAAAGGGTGCGAAGCTCGAGCGAATTCTGGGGAGACCAAACAGTACCGATACCGCTATTCCCCAGACCTCTCCCGGGGTGCGTTCTGACCATGGCCTGGCGCGTAACCCAATTCTCGGGCTGGATCCCTCACTGACTCTGGAAAGGGGGCTCCTCGGCGATTCAAGCAGACAAGTTCCTCGACGATCTGTTTATGCAATGGCTCTTCGATTCAAGCTGACACTTCTACAGAGATTGGCCCATTGGGCCGTCAAAGAAAAAGTGGGCCAACGCCTGTAAATCGGGGGAACCCAAAGGCAGGTGCGCACGCGGGGCCGATGCATGAACATCTGCGCGCGTGTGCATCCGAAAAAAGGTGGGGTCGGATCTCGAAGCGAATCCAGCGGTGGCGACGAGGGCCTCCGAGGCGGCCCCAAAGAGGGGAGACCCCGGCGGAGGGGAGCGGTGTATACGGGGTACCTCCTCCTGAGATCTGCAGAGGCCCACCGCGTGTGCCGCTGCTGTTTTCGAGCGCAACGCGGGTGGGTGGCGGTGTTGGATCTTCCCGGCGGGAGCCGGCGGGCGGGCACGCCCGCGCGCCCTTGGAGAGAGCTGGCACGCCGTGGTGGGCCCCGCGGGCCCCTCTCGGCGTCGTGCAGGGGCCCGGTGCAGGGGCCCGCGGGGCCGGTGCGCGGGAGGCGGAGCTGGTGGCAGCGCTGGCCACAGAGCTCGAGCAGGGGATCGACTGCAGAGTTGATTTGCCCCAAAATTGACGTGCGCAGAATGTTCGTAGATCCGCGAACTTCCTACCCATGTTCGATGGACTTGACGAGGAAGCTCAATTCTGGGGTCAATCAATTCTGCAGCCAATCCCCTACTCGAAGAGCTGGTCCAGCAAGTTGCGGATTCCGGAAGTCATGGACCCGAAAATGCTCTCGTCTCTTTTGGCGGCGCAGCCTTTCCTTCCGCCGCTCTTCCGCCGCCCTTCCGCCGGCTTCCGCTGGCGGAGGCGGCCTCGTTTTACTTCCGCCGGCCTTCCGCCGCCTTCCGTCCGAGGACGAGGTGGCACCCCCTTCGATCCTCAGTGGCAAGGCCATGTCTAGAACACCTCAAATGGTGCCGGAAAAGCAAGGATGGGCGGAACAGATCGTCCGGCTGGACAGAGAAGACTTGAAGATCCGATGATCGCCTTCAAATATCCGACGACTTCCCATTGTCCACTCTATCTCTTTCCACCCAGCTCTATCCAGCTGTACCAGCTCAGTGCATGTTGTATACACGTACCTCGTAGACCACCACCCGTATCGTGATAAAGGGGTGAGGAAGTTTGGAAGGGGGGCTGAGGAACCTGCACTCCGATGTGGACTTGGAGGTTCTCTGTGCTTTGAACTTCGACTGGACCTCAACGCGACAAATCCTCGAGGTCATCGCGATACGTTGGCTCGCGCGAGTGCTTCGTGGGAGAACCACGCTGGGAGGGAGGGAGGGAGGGAGGGAGGGAGGGACTTCTTCCTGCAACGCGCGAGCGATCCACACCGTCGGGGCCGTGACCGTCCCTCGCCCAACCGCCGCCTGTCGCGAAGCCGTCGGAGATCTCGAAGAGCAGCCTGCCGAGGTCCGGGAGCCACCTGCGGCCCCGAGCCCTCCCCCTCCCGAGCGGCTGCATGGCCCCTGGCCGTGACTCTGCGCGCAGGCTCTTCCTATCGCCCTCCTCCTCCTCCTCCTCCTCCGCCTCCTCCTCCTCCTTCCCCTCCGCCTCCTCCGCGTCATCAGCGTCCACCTCATCTTCATCCCCGTGTTCGTCCTCGTCGTCGTCTCCCCCTTCCATCTCCCTCCCCCTCCTCCCCCTCCCACCCCTCCCTCCTCCTCACACCTCCCCACATCGCGAGAAGTCACGACGGGAGGATTTTGACAATGCCCGTGTTCGGCGGGGGCCCGTACTGGGCTCCAGGGAATTTCACAAGAAAACGTCTAGGGATGAAAACGGGTCCCAGGGAAGGGGTCTGGACCTCTGGGGTTCCGCGTGGCAGAGGGATCACGTCGTCGGGGTTATGGACCTCTCCACCCTGCTCTTTCCCTTGGGACAGTCCCTCTAGGACCCCTTTGGGGTGCCTCCCGCCGCAGAATTGCGCTGGCAGGCATACGCTCGTTGGCAGAGCTTGGCGCCCGCACCAAGGCGGACTTACCCCGAAGGACTCCTGGATCTTTCTTTCCCATCCGCTCTCCCTTAAAGAACAAGCAAGGAGATACAGTCAACCCGAAGAGTAATGATGCGCGATAAGGATGCAAGGCCCTTGGAAGCCCGTTTCGAAGCTCTTCGAGCGGGGCGCGGCCAGCGAACGTGACGAAGGATGGACCCAGGGGGCAAGGATGCAAGGGTACTCTTGAGAGGGATGCCCATCCTTACTCTGCGGGTCGACTGTAATACGAGCTTTCGGAGGTCCGCGCGGATTCCCCGGATCGGCGCTGACCCTCCCTTCCTGGCGCGCGGAGCGCGCCAGGGGCGGCGCATGAGGTCCTGCCAGAGAGCTCCAGCTCTGATCCGAAAAATCCGCGCGGATTTCCGAAAGTGCATGGTTATGTGTTTTTTACTGTTCACCGATTCCCACCTCTCTTCCCCCCCTCTCTTGTCTCTCTCTCATTCCTCCTCCTCCTCCTCCTCCTCCTCCTCCTCCTCCTCCTCCTCCTCCTCCTCCTCCCGAATGCTGCTCCTCTCCCAGATCATGCGGCAAAATGCTCCCGCCTCTTTCGCTTATCATTCATCTATACACTGGGATCCGTCATATTTTGATACTTCCGCAATCCGTGCTTGCTCTGAAAGGGTCCTGTCACGAGCGGCGATCATAGCCGTATCCGCGCCCTCGCAGTCTGGATTCCAAGGTGCGATCCCGCGGATACGCGGTGGCACGGATATGTTCCGTGCGGGGCAACCTCGAACAAAAATGCACCGTATCCGCGGGGTCGCAGCTCACAGGCCCAGCCTGCGAGGCCGCGGATACGGCCATGTTTTTCGCCCACGGTCCTGGCCAAAATTGGAGGACTAAGGCACGGCCGAATTCGGTGGGCGGCCGGGTTGCCCGATGCCCGGCTTCGGTTTCCCGGGCTCCAGAATCAGGAGTTCCCAGCACTCTAAGGTTCCGGGGTCTTTGAGTTTTTGGTCACACGGGTCCTTGCGATGGCGCCCTTTGCCTCCAGGATGGCCCCAGGAGGGGTTCAAAACTGACCCCTGGAACGTCGTCCGCCACTGTGATTCGGAATCGGGATACTGACGGGTAGCCGGGGGGCAAACAGAACCGCTCGCAAACGACATCGGCGCCAGTCGAGACTCCAGGACCATCAGTGGAAGGCTGTCTTGGGCTCTTGACACAGGAGAACGAGAGGGACAACCAATCACTGACACAGATAAAGACCTTCAACTGTGTTGACCTTCGACCGCGGCTTGGCGCCAAGCAGCTGCGACAAAAAAGTTGGCCTTATCGACCAGCTTCCCGAGCCTCCAGGACGGCTTCAGCCTTTCCCAAGAGGGGTCCAAAACGGACCTCTGCAAAGTCGTCCGACATTGCCTGCGGGGTCGATTCGGGGCCTGGTCCAGATTGCAGACTGGGGGGCCGCCCTGGACCGATCGCGGACGAAGTCAAGGCGAGTGTCGAGGCCTGGACTCCTCGATTGGGAAAGGGGAACAGGTGGGCGGGAGCCTGGGAGAGGGAAGGCAGGGGGGGGGATACAGTTGACACATACGACAAGCGACCTTCCCATCAGGAATCCTGGGCCACAGTGCTCGTCAACCATTTCAGGGTCCCACAGGGTGCCCCAGAGCTTCTCTGGGCCCCCGGGGCCACCGCGGGGTCAGAGACTTCCGGAGGCCGTTGCTTGACTGGACGTGCCTGCCAGATGGCAGGGAGGGCTGGGGGCAGAGGGAGCGGCCCCAGCGGATCGACCTCCCCCTGCTTCTGGCCAGGAGCCGCGGGCGCCGGAGAACGACGAGGAGAAGGAGGAGGAGGAGGAAGAGGAGGAGGAGGAGGATGAGGAGGGGGGAGGAGGAGGGGAGGAGGAGGAGGGAGGGAGGAGGAGGAGGAGGAGGGAGGAGGAGGAGGAGGAGGAGGAGGAGGAGGAGGAGGAGGAATGGAGGACGAGGAGGAGGAGAAATGGAGGGAGGAGGAGGAGGAGGAGGAGGAATGCAGGAGGAGGCGGAGGAGGAGGAGGAGGAGCGAGGGCTGCGCGAGGGGCCTCGCGCCCTGAGCGTCGCCAAAGAGGCATGCCAGGAGACGCTCGAGCAGGCTGCCCCGGCTGCCCCTGGAGGCGGCGATCCGCCCGGCCACCCCCCGCGGGGGGGCGGCGCCCCCAGCGCGCAGGGAGAGGGCCCAAAGCAGAAGAGGCCTCGAGGCGGCCCCAAAGAGCTCCAGGCTCCCACCCACCCTCCCATCCCATCCCCCCCCCCTCCGCTCTGCCCTTGAACTTTTCCGCCTCTCTCTCTCTCTCTCTCGCTCTCTCCCTCCCTCTCTCTCTCTCTCTCACGCACCGTCTCCGCCCCCCCCCCCCCCCCCACACACCTCCCCTGGTCCCGCCTGTCCCATGCCCCCCTCCCCCCGCCCCCCTCCCTTCCCCAGGAAATAGGAGATACGGAGGAGGAGAACGAGAACGACGAGGAGGAGGGGGACGAGGAGGAGGAGGAGGAGGAGGACGAGGAGACGGAGAAGGAGAAGGAGACGGAGAAGAATGAGAAGGGGAAGAAGGAGCTCCTCCTCTTCCCCTTCCTCCTCCTCCTCCTCCTCCTCCTCCTCCTCCTCCTCCTCCTCCTCCTCCTCCTCATCCGCCTCGTCCTCCTCCTCGCGGACAACTGCTGCTGCAGTCGCTGAACAGCCGCCAGGCGCGCTCCTACTTGCAGTGTCTGCCGCGTTCGCCAATTAGGAACCTCACCGCTGAGAGCTTGCATGCAATCATCATTTCGAGGAAGACGACATGCTGGGATGTTCTCACCTGGCCGGCTCTGGAAACCTCGATTATCCTGGCATTGACATCCCTTCTTGTCGTGGAATCTCTTCTTGTCGTGGATGCACTGGCCCAGGTTACCGCCAGACTGGGTCAACCAGGGTTATGTCGCGAACTCGGAACACAGCGGACGGGCGGAAGGCGTAGGGAAGATAGATAAGAAGGGTCGGCTCAACATGGCTACCCAAACCTTGGTCAGCCAAGGAGGGTTGGCTGACCCCGTGCGCACAAACCAACAGGCTGGGGTTATCCGCTTCCCTCCGCGCATTGTGCTTCTCACATCCTAACTGGGTCTCTTGCTCTATCTGGACACCTCCGCGCAGGAAAGATCACCTCACCCTCTCTCCCTCGCCACCTCTGAGACTCATCACCACCATCACACCATCATGCGCATCACCATCACCATCCTATAATGATCTTCAGTCATCCGTCATATAATTATCACAACGCCATGTTCGCACACTCACCATCACCATCACCATCATACAACCATCATCGCTACCACCATCCCGTCATGACAGTTGACTTTCATAATTGTCGATCATGGTTTCGATGGAGAGCCTCGTCGGTGAGCGAAGTGCGAGAAAGTCTCAGGCGGGAGTCCCCTCCCCATGGGGCCCGCGCCGCATGTTCCTAAGCCCAAAGGGTCACTCGAAACCTGTAACTGCCGTGAACAGCCTCCCGATGGGCCCACACTTCACGTTTTAGTCCCAATGGGTCATTCTCTACGTATCACGCTTTTTTATCCCAGGGGGTCATTCGAAACCTGCAATAGTCGTCACGCTTGCGCTCCTGCTGCTTGAATATTCAGGAAGTCTCAGTTTTGGGGGACCTCCCACATAGGGCCCACATCTAATTTTTTGGGGGACCCCATTGGGCCATTTGAAACCTGTATCCGTCGTCGCCCTTGAATACCTGAAGCATGACTATTCAGGAAGTCTCGGGCGGGGGCTGTGTCTGTGAATGAATTGCGAGGACGTCTCAGGCGGGAGCCCCCTCCCGATGGGGCCCGCACCCATGATGTTCATCCCAAAAGGCCAATAGAAACCTGTAACTGGCGTCACGTTTAAGCTCCTGCGGATTGAGGATGTAAGAAGTACTGAGACGAAATATTGAGCGGGAGCCGCATGTTCTTTCTGATACAACAAACCAAGGGATGGGACGGGAAGGAGGTGAGGAAAACTCTCAGACAAACTACGGAGATGCTCATGTGGGGTTCCACCGTCGGAATGATTGTTTCCCCCCTGGAGGGAGGAAGACGGCGAGGACAGGCAACGAGGTGCAGCTCGGATGAAGCGAACTGATAGGTTCTCAACTGACGGGAAGGGATCTCCAGCATGGAAGAACTGTCCGGATAGGAAGGGAAGGGCAACGAAGAAGGAAAGTAGGGAACAACGAGGAAGAGAGAACGATGAAACTGCGTCCGCATATTCAGAAAACGAGCCCTAGGTTCGTGACAGGGAAACTGATCACAACAGAAAGTCAACGTACTATCAAACATATGAGGCTCAAGTGGTGCCTGGATCAAGACACTTGGCGTAGTTGGCATGATGAACATGAAGGCCCGCGGCCGCCGCGGAGGAGGCCGTAGAGCCGCCTTTCGACCCGCCAAGACGGTTTGCGTGACGGCGCCCTTGGGCTACTTCGACCCGCTTGGTTTCTGTCAGGTCAGCGGCTGCGAGGGCTTCCGCAAACTCAGCACTTGCGAACTGAAGCATGGGCGCGTGGCCATTATGACCACCTTCGGGACCGCATCCCAGCACTTCGTCCATCTCCCTGGTTTCGAGGACACGCCTGCTGGGCTCGGGGCGCTCACCGACCCCTTCCGCATGCTAAGGCTCGCCTGTCTCATCCTCCGCATCTCCGCGCTCGCAGCGACCGTGCACTGCAAGAATGAAAGGCTGTCCGAAGAACTGCGCAACTTCGGAGACCTGGTCGACTGGGCGGTGTTTTTTCGGCGCCTTTGGCGGCGGCTACAGCGACGAGATCCGGAACGGGCGATGTTCTCGGTCGTGGGCACCCTGGTGGCGGAGTGCGCCACTGGCAAAAACGACATCCAGCAGGTCATCCTCTGAGCATGGCGCCTTAGGCAGCAGCGGCAAGCTGCCCATCCCAGACGCAAAGCGCCAAGCTGGTCACAGACATGCGCCTATGAGCGGCTGGGCACATTCTCGCGCTCCCCTAGGGGCCTGCACCCTCGTTCTCTCTCGCCCCCGAGTCTTCGGGGGCACCGCCGCCGCCGTCATTGCTCGTCTGCTGTCCAGCACGGGCCATCGACGCTCTTGAGCCGTAGTCCCAGTCAGCCAGAAGATGTCCATTCAACAAACCTCTGAGCATCGCACCTCTTTCTGGGGCAAACCCGCGCGTGTCAGTCACGTCGTTGGCTCCCCTCCGCGTACTGTGATTGCTGTTCCTCCACAGGAGGCCACAGGAGGCCGACAAGACGCCCCCAGCAAGCCCCAAGAGACGACAATACATCCTGTTCATCCAGTTCATCCTTCTCCCCCCTCTCATCCTCAGCTTACTCTCCCTCTCTTTCTCTTACTCACTCACTCTCTCTCTCTCTCTCGCTCCCTATAAAGTGTTCCCCTCCAAGGGTCTCCACAACACCTGGGGGAACACGTAGCCAAATATAGCCTTGCAAAGCGTCGGCCCAACGTTTGGCCATGGATGCGCCTCCGAAAGGCAGGGGACAGGGCTGCCCCAGGCGGCCTCGAAGAGGAGCCCCATTTCTGGGACAACGGGTGCGTTCCCCGAAAATGCACACCTGTCGTTTCGGATCTATGATGCACCAGTTCGGCAGATGCATGCACCTTCAGTGGTCAAAACAACATACACCATACCACGTGATGAGAAGGAACACTGTCGTGCATGCTGACAACGAAGAGTACGATCACCAGGAACCTGCGGGATGACAGATGCCCCATGTTTAGAATCTGAATCGGGGCATGACGGAACGGCCAACAGGCTTAACCATGTAACCGCACCCACAACAAAGTCCGTCTCTACGCCTCGTGGGGGGATGGAGCGGTGAAATGAGGAAGACGGAATATACATACAGAAACAATAAAACAGGGGAAGCGGAAGTACAAAGGAGCGAGGACTTGGACATCGGAGGCCTGCTAGTGCCACTCGCTCCTTGCGAGATCACAAACGATCGGGTGTGAGGAGGCGGATGAGCATGATGATGATGATGACGAGGAGCACGCAGGTGGGAGAAGAAGGGGGCGGAGGAAGGAGAAGGCAGAGGAAGAGGAGGCGGCGGAGGAAAGCGATGACGGAGACGAGCAAGAGACGGACCGCAAGGAGGAAGGACGATAAAGGGGTAAGGACGACGTGGCAGGTGAGTCACTCCTCCACTCCAGACTCGGTGCTGTGAGACTTCCTCGAACGAGATCCGGGCAGATCTGAAGAGCTCTTAGCTCGGCAGAGCTGCACGGCTGGCTACCGGTACGTATCACCATGCCCATACTCGGCAGGGCCAAAGGCTGACAAGAGGTCGTGGCTTCACCACGGGGAGCATGCCTTGCAGCGGGCCCGGACTGTGCAGTGCGGACAGACCGGCAGCCCAGGACCACATTCGCTGAGACCTCCCAATTGGGGTCCGAGCAGATGGGGGCGGAACGTCGCGCCGCACCGCCAATGCATCGCCGATGCATCCGCGATGTATCGTCGGCATCGGCGAAGCATCGGCGCCGTAGACGTGAAGATATCCAGGCTCCGCATCAAGCCGCATCGCCAGCGCATCGACGAGACGGCGCGATCCTCTGACCTCATCTGCTCGGACCTCATTTGGGAGGCCTGGACTCCATGGATCCAGCCCGCACGGTCAAGCTGCAAAGCTCACAAGAGAGCGTGACGCCACACGATGTTTGGCGGGTGTCGAACCTGAGGCTGGAGGTCCTCTCTTGCCTCCCCCTGGTCTCGTGACCGACTCGGACCACACAGCGATTCCAGGGACAGAACGAGCCGTGACCACACAGGATCCAACATCGAGCAAGGCAGCCCCCAAAAAGAGAACCCGCTCGGCGGTCTACCCCCTTCTCCTCCTCTCATCCTCCTCCTCCTCGTCGCTCTCCTCCCTCCCCTCCTCAGGAGGAGGCGGATTCCGGCCTTCGCCCTCTTCGCGCTATCCCACCCTCACCCTGTTCATCCTAACCCTCCTTCCCCCCAACTCTCCCTCACCCTCTTCACATCCGCCCTCTGGGACACCGCCGTCCGCGCCGCGACGGGCGCCCTGGCCGGGGCCACACCGGCCAGCAGATGCTAATCTCGCCAGGGCGGCTGGGGTTAAGTCGGGCGTGTCCCCCTACAGGGGAGATTTTCAATGAAAAATGAAAAATGTTTGAAAAGGTACCCCAAAGGTCAACAAAATAATCCAAAAATAGTCCCCAGACTATTTTTCGACTATTTTTGAATATTCCTCCTGTAGAGGGACGGACCCGACTTGAGGCTGGGGGGAGGCCCCGTCCCGGCCGTTCGGCGTCTCCCTCCATAGCCGAAGGGCCAGCGCACGGCCCCCTCCTCGCCCCCCTGCCACTCGTACCGGGGGGAGACGGGGCTGGGCAACCTGCCCACGCCCCTCTTCTCCTCCCTCCATGCCCCCCTCCCTCGCCCCCCAGGTCTCGCCCTCCTTCCTCAAGCCCTCCTTCGTCAAGCCCTCCTTCATAAAGCCCTCCATGCCCCCCTCCCTCGCCCCCCTCTCGCCCTCCTTCATCAAGCCCTCCCCTCCTCACTCGCCCAACCCGTCTCCTGTGCTGGCCCTTCGGCATCTGCGAGCAGCGCAGGGTGACGGCCCGAGGCACCACCTTGGCACAACTGGAAGTGGCACCGTGTCAAAGGCAGCTGGAGTGCGGAGGCCCCGATGGACGAGAAGGGCAAGGTGAGCAAACTATCCCGAACCGAAACACATGAAGGAGGAAGGGGGGGAAAGAGGGAAGATAATCAATGGGAAAGAGAGGGATGCGTGGGGAGAGGGGTAGGGAACGAAGGGATGTATAGATACAAACATTGAAGAAGAGAGAGAGAGAGAGAGAAACGACAACCAATAAAACAAACGATGGAAAGGGAAAGAGAGAGAGAGAGAGAGCGAGAACGCAACAATTGGGACAAAACTGTCTGCCTTGGCCTGGCGAATTGTAAATGCCGCCCGGGCCATCCTCACACTGGCAGGAGAAGCCGCGAAACGGACAGGCGTGGGGGAGACAACCGCCCACCCCTCTAGCGCGTACTCAAGAGGGCCCGACTGAAAAAGAAGAACGGGTCTGTGGCGATCAAAGCGTAACTCGCCCCGTCTGCACAGCCGAGCAAAAGGCGCCGGCTTCCAGCGCGATTTGGTCTGCGCGCATTGGCACCTCAAGGAACCGTGGCGCCACATTGGGACATTCCCCGCACCGGCCCAATGCGAAGGCTTCGGAACACTTGCCGGGCGTTCTCGCAGCGCACAAGAGAGAGGAGAGGCTAGCACTGGCGTGCCATAGCGGTGAGCCTTCTAGGTGCGCCTGGAGGCTTCCCTGGAGTGGCCCCGAAAGAAGCGGTCGGACGGAAAGCCTTTTGCGGGCTTATCCAGGCGACCTGAGCTCCTTGGAATCTGTCCATCAGAGGGCTAGACTCTGGGTGAAAGGCAAGGACTGCGCGAGGTTTGGGCCACGCTGTCGCAGCGCCGTCTTGCAAGCGATGTCCAGTGCCCGATCCATTCGCTGCGTTGGTGTTCCACCAGTGCCTGCGCCCGCTCGCGTAATAGGGCGGTCGGTGGCCCCCGTGCCTTGGCGGGAGGGGGGAACGACCTGGTGGCTATGGATGGTGGCCGCTGAGGCGGGGTCCTGGGTGGACAGCCGCCCCTTGAGGCACCGCTGCCACAGCCCTTAATGACTCCGCACTGTGCTATCGCCGTCGGCGTCGTAACCGTCGCTATCGTGACCTCCTGCTGGAGTAGCGGTAGTTTCTTCGTCATTGTCCCAGGCTGCGTCAAGTCCCAGTGGGTCGTCGCCTTCTTCTTCGAAATCGTCGTTTGGTCCACCCTATGGGTCGTCGAGATCGTCGAAGAAGTCCGGCCTTGATGAGCCTTGCTGTCGCGAGGCGTCGCCAGGTGAGCCTGGTGGCTAGACACTTATTTGCCCTATGGTGACTGGGTTGGGCTTCGTATTGCTGACTTCAGCCAAGGAGGAACCCTCGTGCTTGTCTGGCAAGGGTAACGCGCGGTGGCGAGAGTCATGAGTCGCGGCAGCAGTGCTGTGGGCAACCGTCGCAAATTTGTGTCGCCATCTTGCTCCGTCTATGGCATATTGTTGCAGGGCGCGCTGGCGTGCTCTGGCAGTGGCGTGTCCATATTCGTGGCGGTTAAATGCCTCTGCGATCGGTGTGATCCGACCTTCATTTATGCCTTGCTCACCGACATGGGTTTCATCTTGTTGGGCCTTGAACATGTCAGGTTTGGCTTGTAGCGCACGATAGATACTTTGCCCGAGGTCGGCCTGACTTCCAGCTACTTGTGGTGGCTTTCCTGCGAGGAGGGCCTCGAATGCGTCTACGACGGCTTAGTTGTTGACGAATGCGTGGACAAGCCGCTCCGCAGTAGCCACCGGGGAAAACAGGGCGAAGGCCTCAGCGCGTTGCGCGAACCGGGCCAAGCCATGAACCCGAGCAAGATGGTTAAGCCTGTGGTCAGGCCCGTAATTGATTCCGACATCAGCTCTGGCATGGTGCGGGTGGGCCTGGCGAGCGCGGACTCCGCCGGTGGCCGCGAGGATCTGCCTGGCCCCTGCGCCGTCGTCGGTGCATTCCTCGAACTGATCGGCGTCGGAGCCCTCGGGGGGGGGGGGGGGGGGATGGGCTGTGGGAGCAGCCCAGAGCCCAGCAGCTGCGGGTCTTCTTCCAGCAGCCCGCAATGCCTTGTGTGAGGCGGGAGGTTCCTCCATTGCTGATCGGTCGTCAAGTTTTTGCCAATCATCCTGTGGTGTTGGGTCCTCGATTCGAAGAGACAGCGTTCCGCATTCCTCTCCTCCTCCTGATCTTTCTCCTCCTCCCATTCCTCCTCCTATCCGTGCCTCTGCCCTCCGCACCCAGTACAACGCTTCGTGGCCTCATATGGAGCTCCTCCGGAGGCCCCAGCGGCGGTGTTCGCATGCGTCTCTCCCACCGAATGCAGCGCTTCTGGCCCCATAGGGAGCTCCACCGGAGGCCCCAGTGGAGGTGTTCGAATGCGTTTCCCCCACCTGGTACAACGCTTCGTGGCCCCAGAGCGGCGATGCTCACATGCGTTCCCACAGCGGTTGGTGGTCCCACAACGAGCTCCATCGAAGGCCCCAATGGCGGTGTTCACGCGTCTCCCACACCCGGTACAGCGCTCCGGGGTCCCTTAGGAATCCCCACCGACGGCCTCACCGGCGGTGTTCGCATGCGTCTCCCCCCACCCAGTACAACAGTTCGCGGCCCAATCGGGAGCTCTACCGAAGGCCCCAGTGGCGGTGTTCGAACGCTTCGTGGCCCCATAGGACGCTCCACCGAAGGCCCCAGCGGCGGTGTTCGCATGCGTCTCTCCCGTCGAATGCAGCGCTTCGTGACCCCATGAGGAGCTCCACCGAAGCCCCAGTGGCGGTGTTCGCATGCGTCTCCCAAACTCAATACAGATGTCCGTGGCCCCATAGGGAACTCCATCGAAGGCCACAATGGCGGTGTTCGCATGCGTCTCCCCCGCCCAAAAAAGCGCTTCATGGCCCCACAACGAGCCCCACCGGAGGCCCCGGCGGCGGTGTTCGCGTGCGTCTCCCCAAACCAATACAGCGCTTCTCTGCCTCAGAGGGAGCTCTACCGAAGGCCCCACTAGCGGTGTTCGCATGCGCCTTCCCCACCCAGTACAACGGTTCGTGGCCCCATCGGGCGCTCTACCGCATGCCCCTTCCCCCCCCCAGCACACACACACACACACACGCACACACACACACGCACGCACGCACGCACGCACGCACGCACGCACGCACGCACGCACGCACGCACGCACGCACACACACACACACAAACAAACAAACAAACAAACAATCAATCAAACAAACAAACAAACAAACAAACAAACAGACACACACACACACACATCCACATTCACACTCACAACACACACACACACTTTTTTACCTGCACGAAGGAGCCCAGCGGCACGACGGACGACGGACAAACGAAGAACGACGATGAAAACGACCAGAGAACACGCGAGGGGGGGAGGGGCGAGAGGGGAAAAGGGGAGGAGGGCCATAAGGGGGGGCGCCCGCGCGCGCAACGCCAGCCCCTCACGGCCCGGTCGCGGCACCGCCGGCGCCTCCGCGGGCCGCGGCTGCGCGAGGCCCTGGCGCGGGCAGGCCTAGGCCGGCCTGGCCGGCAGCCCAGCAGCCGGGGGAGCTGCCAGCAGCAGCCGCCCCCTCGATCTCTGTGGCCGCCTCTGCGTCGCGGGCGACCACCGCCGCAGCGGCGTCGAGGAGCGCGATCCGCGCCCCCCGGAAGCTGCGGCCGCGCAGGGTGACACCCAGCGGCGGCGCCAACTCCCGCCAGACGGCCACGGATCGCCTCGAGGAGCTCGTTGCGGGCGAGCTCCAGGGCGACCTCATCGGCCGGCGCCTGCTGCCCGCCCGCCTCCGCGCGGGGCCAGCATGAGCGGCGCCTTGATCGCCTCCCCGGGACCGGCTGCCAGCCGTCCTCGAGAGGCACCTCCACCGGCTCTGAGCCGGGAGGGGACGCGGCCTCAGCCGCGGCCGACGGGGGAGCGTCGGCGGCCAGCAGTGGCGGGCTCCGTGCGGCGGCCGAAGGCTGGACCCACCTCGACCGGATCCGGCTCAGCCACGGCGGGCCGAGACGCGTCCGGGAAGAGAGCAGCGGCTGGGGACCAGCCGCCCCACCGCTGAAGGCAGAGGCGCTCCAGCGTCACCTCGCTGCTGGCCACCGTCGCGGCCGGAACCAACTCGACCTGCAGCGGATCCGCATCGCGCGAGCCCACGGGGAGCCCGACAGCGTCACCGCCCAGAGGGGTTCAGGGTCCGCCCCGGAGGGCGGGGTCGCCGCTCCGCCGCGCCGCTTCCGCCTCGCCCTGCCGCCACGGGCCTCGGGTCCGGCAGGAATCACCTCGACCAGTCCGGGAGGAGACACCTCCACTGGAGAAACACCGAGCGGCCGTCGCGCGCATGGGGCCTCCCACAGCGCCACCAACTGCTGGACCTTCCCTGCCCGCCCAGACTCCGAGGCAGGCTGGTGGGACCGGGGCGGCGTGGCCACAGCCGTCGAGCCCGAGGCCGACGCCAGGCCGGCCGACCCCGCGGCCGTCGCGGGAGCTCGCGGGCAAGCGAGGTCATCTGCCCCCTCGAGCTCTTCCTCATCGTCCGCGTCCGCCCAGGGCTCTCGCGGAGCAGCGGGCTTCGCGGGACACCGCGACGCGGGAGGCGCGGGCGCGGGCGCCAGAATGGCGCGGCCAGACGCCTCGCTGCTGCTGCCGCTGCCGCTGCTGCCGCCCGCGCTGCTTGGGGGGTCCGCGCGGCGGCGGCGCCGGCCATGGCGCCGGCCACCATCGAAGCGGCCCCCACTGCCGCCACCTGCCGCGCCCCCGCTGGAGGCGCCGCCACTCCCGCAGCCGTGGGGCGCCAGCTCCCGGGGTCTTAGGTCCACCGCAGCAGGATGGCGTCGGCCAACGGAAGCCCGGTAGCCCCGCAGCCCGGCGATCCGCAGGGCTGCTTCCACGAGCTGGGCGCGGTCTATGCCGTTGCCGCCCCCGCCGTCCGCGCAGCTGGCCCCCTCGGCCCGAGCTGCCTCCGCAGGAGCCGGCGCTGTC